GGGCGGGGGCGGCCGCGTCGTTCCGCAGGCCCCTCCCCCGCGCCGACCCCGCCCCTCGGCCGCCCGGCAGGTGCGGGGGACCCGGCCTGGCGGGTACCTGGGTGCTGGGCCGCGGGGGAGGGGAGGGAAGGGAGGTCGCCGGCCCGGGTGGGGGCGGGGGCTCCTCGGGTGCCCAGGTGCTCGGGCAGGGGCACCGGAGTCCGGAGGAGGCTGGCAGAGGACCGCGACCGGAGGGCTGGCGGGGTGGGCGCGGCTGGCGTGGGCAGGAAGGGAACAGACTAGGGCCAGGGCCGCGGAGCAGCTGAGCGAAGAGCTGCGCGTGGGCAGCGCCCCGCAGGGCCAGGCTCGCAGGTCGGCCTCCCCTGGCGTCGCGCGTGACCTCGGCGGCGGAGCCTCTCTCCGTGCAGGTGAGGGCGGGGCACTGCAGCCCGCACCCCGGCTGCCAGCCCTACGCCCAGGCTCCGCCAGCAGCAGAGCCAGCCTTCTCCTCCCTCCCGTCTTCCCTTCCTCCATCATCCCTGCAGCTGTCCAGCCTGGGCCTTTTCGCAGCGCTCCCTCCCCTAGGAAGGTGCGGGTCCCATCCTCTCCCCCATCAGCCCTGCACGTTCTCACTAGCACCTGGTCTTCCCCAACGCCCCACACCCCACACCCCACAGCCTAGCCCAACCCCGACTCTGCCTACACCAGGCTCACCTCTACCTCAGGACTGCAAAGTGGCTGCAGCCTCACACACTGGACAGGCAGCCGGGGTTCCAGTCCTGCCAGCCAGCAAGGGGGCCGGACCAGCACAGCCTCCTCTGCCTAACAGGGGTCTGTCCTCGTGGGGGCTGCATCAGGGAGAGCGCCCTCTTCATGACACCCCCCTTTACTTGGGATTGAACGTTGAGCCCAGGGCCTTTGCTTTGAGCTACATCCCCAGCCCATTTTTTATTTTGAGACAAAGTCTTGCTAAATTGCCCAGGCAGGGGTTGAACTTGCAGTCCTCCCGCTTCAGCCTCCCAGAGTGGTGGGATTACAGATGTGCACCACCACGCCTGCCCATCATTCCTTTACGGTGTGTGTTTATTGAGCACCTACTACATGCAGCACTTCCCAGCACGGGGCTAGAGTGGCAAACGGAGGGCCCCTCCTGTGCCCGTACCGGGTTCACAGTCCTGGTGCGGAGGACACAGCCACACCCCTGCTTCCTCCTGCGATGAAGATTGCTCCCTCCCTGTAGCGGCTTCTCATCACCTTCCCACGCGACATCCAAAAAAGGAGCCGGTCTCACAGCACGGGGGTGGTGCGAATGACTTTCTGGCTCCTGCGCCAGCGGACATGAGCGGCGCCAGCCCACTGTCCTTGTCCACCCCAGGCACCCCCACAGGCAGCTCATACTGCCCCGCCGCTGCTTCTGGCTGGGTCAGGACAGAGGTCGCTCCTCCTCAGGCCCCTGCCAGGCTCACCTCCCAGTGCCTGGGCTTCCTTCCTGAGGTGCCGTAACAGGAAAGTACACCTGAGCAGATGTGGCCCCGCCCAAGCCCTGTGTGGGGCTGTCTGATGCCGACGGAAAGCTCGCTCGGCCCCTCCGGGCTACCTGTGGACAGCCACAAGAGCCTGGCGGCTGCACACCAGGAAGGGAGCCTCCCCCGGAGCAAAGGGGCGGGCGCCCTGACCTTGGACTTCCGGCCTCCAGGGCTGCAGGAGTCGATCCTGCTGTCCAAATTGGCAGATGCACGCGCAGAGTTAAATGTTCGCCTGAGCGCACGGCCACGGGGCAGCACTGCTGTACCTGCGGCCTTGGCAGGAAAGAGGGCACACCTGCCCCCCAGGCCCCCGTCCTCCCCGGCCCCACTCTTGGGATCTGGAAAACATCAGCAGCTCTGGCACTGTGAGAAACACACGTGCATTACTTATGCCATCCAGGCAATGGTATTGTCATAGCAGCCCCGAAAGACTAAGACCCCCCCAAAGATAACCCCACCTTGACTTCTAACTCTGTGGTTTTGCTAGTTTAGGCAAGTAGACTGATAGGGTACAAATTTTGTTTTCATTTTTGCTCAACATTTTGTTTCTGAGACTCATGTTTTTACATACATAGCTGTGATTTGTTCATTTTCACTGCTGTGTAGTATTCATTTGTGGAAGCACAGGGCCATTTGCCCGCTGCTAGTGGCCCTTTGCAATGGCTTTGCAGATCGGAGGCTGCAAAGGACAGCGCTCTCACATCTCAGCGTCCCTGTGTGCACTGCCAGGACACCCGCGTGACAAGCTGTGGGTGTCAAGCTGTGCTGCGGACACTGGGCAGCTTCCTAGGAACAGAGCTCCTGCTGCTGTCCAGCCTCCCTCACAGAGCCACTGCCACAGGTTGTGGGCTCAGCCGCTCACCACCCCTGTTGAGCCCCCATCCCTTCCCTGCATGGGACTGGCCTGCTCCTCCTGCCACCAGGGGCAGCCCCGGCTCGCCACACCTTCCCACCCCCTCTCCAGCCAGCCCGGAGGCTTGCCAAATCCAGGCCGCCTCCCCCAGGGCCCCCAGATCTCCAGGCTCCCGGGCATGCATGCTGTCTGCATTCAGGGCTCTTCCCAGCAGGCACAGCAGCACACACAGTAAAGCCAGCACCTTGGGAGGCTGGGGCAGGAGGTCAAAGGTTCAAGGCCAGTCTGGGCAACTCACCAAGATCCTGTCTCAAAATATGAATTGAAAAGGGCATAAGAGCTCAGTGCGAAGGCTCTGGGTTCAGTCGTCAGCACCACCAAAAGGTCTTTCCAATGTGCGCCCCCTACTGCAAATTTAACCAGCTCCTCAGCTGCCAACTACACCTGCTTCTCCCTCTGTGCTCTCTGCGTCCCCACTTCCTGTCCCTCTAGAAACTTCCACGGTCCTGAGATACTTTGGACAATGCATGTGTGGCTGGAGAGCGAAGTGACTCTTCCAAAAGGCATGGGAGCCTCTGTGTGGTTTGCCTCGAGGCCTTGGAAAAGCACCCATTAAGATGGAGCGACCTCACAATAGCTAAATCTTGGAAGGGGCCTATGTGTCCCTCCACAGATGAATGCACAAAGAAAACATGTTTATACACAATGGAGCACTACTCTGCCATAAAGAAGGATAAACTTGAGTCACTTGTAGGAAAACGGATGCACCTTGAGACCATAATGTTAAGTGAATTAAATCAGACGCTGAAGCTTAAGTATCACATGGTTTCTCTTATGAGAGAAATCCAAAGTATAAATAAAGAGCAAGACAACAGATAGGTAGTAGGAAGTAGGGAGGTAAATCTTCCTTAAATGGGAAGGAGACCAAGGGGGAGCAGGAGGCAACGGGAAGAAAGAAGAATGAAGATGTGTTATGTCCATTGCCACCTCCCCACGAGGAGCGTGATCGCTGTATGCTGCGAGCGTGTGCTGATAACAGTCACAGGAGAGGGTGACTGGCAGCCAGGACCCCGAGTGACAGCGAAGAGCAAGGACCCTATTCAGGTGCAGAGTGAGGAGAACAAGCAGGCTGGGGTATCACTCTGCCCTTCAAGCTGCCTGTCACTGCCGCAAGCCCTCCCTGTCCTGACCACTACACCCTGTCCTGCCTGTCCCAGAACAGGAGCAGCCTGCAGCCCGAAGGGACCAGCTCCTGGGCAGCAGCTACACCATAGCTTACGGGCACCTCACCGTGCCACGTGCCCATGCAGGGTGGCAAGGCTGTGACTCTGGTCTATGCCGGTACCCAGGCCAAAGCCACAGCCACACATTTATTCTCTGCTGGCCGCATGAAGAGGTAGAAGAGAGCCAGGGCCTGAGCTCACACCTAGAGGGTCACTGGCCCACACGTCACAGAGCCCCACGCCACTGAGCCCCACGGGACAGCGAGGGCCACCAGGTCACACAGCCATGTGGCCCGGGAAGAGCGCAGGACAGTCCTCCTCCAGAAGGGCTGCACAATGAAGCAGGCGACACAGGTTCTCAGTTATAAATGCTAACAGAGGTGCTGCGTGATTTTCCCCAAGTCCCGAGCTCGCATGTGGCAGCGCTGACATGTCCTGGAGTCCATGTGGATCCTGGCTGTGGCTACTCTGCAGCGGCCCTGCTGTCACCACCCAGGTGCAGAGCTGGGCTTCGAGGCTCACCTGGCACCTTGAGCCACCTGCTGTAGCCTCGTAGAGGCAGCTAAAATGGGGCCAGCAGGCAGCTCTGTCCTCCAGCAGAATGACAGCCCCAGGGCCTCTGACATACCCAGGCCAGGGCGCCAAGCCTCTGGGTGCACAGTGTCTCGGGAGGCCCAGCAACACCTTCCCTTTGGATGTGTCACTGACCTTTCCAGGTAGTTTTTATTTCCTGCGTTTTACCTGTGTTAATGACACAGTTTAAGTAAAGCAAGACCTGCTTCATTGCAATCTTTTGAATATTGATTTAAATGAATCATCCTCAGTATCCTGACATATTTGCTTCAGCTCTTTTCATTTAAAAAATAAAAAGAGGGGGCCGGGGATTTAGCTCAGTGGTTCTGGCACCTGCCTTGCAAGCACAAGGTCCTGAATTCAATCCCGGTACCAAAAATAAATAAATAAATACATAAATAAGTAAAATAAAATGAAAAGAGGGAGGGAGGGACGGAGTGAAACATGAATGAGAAACTCCCCCAGCCCTGCCCCTCCCCGTCTTTTTTCCAGAGGTAAACACTGTCCCTGAATTGCTTTCTCTCATCCGCGTTCTGTTCTTTGACACATACACATACATTATTTCATTTTGTGTAATTTCAAAATTTATATAAACGTTATCACATTGATCACCCCATATTGCAAATTACTT